CGCGGCGCGGGGCATGGCCGCGCTCGGTTCACTGCGGGCGGCCCGGCCCGGCCCGGCCCGCTCCGCTCCCCTCCCCTCCCCTCCCTCACCCGCGTTGCCGCTTCCGGGTTGGCCATGCTGGCCTCGGTTGCTGTAGCGAGCTCCCCGCCGCCTCTGTTTTTGTGACGCCTATAATCCGAAGCCCATTTTGACGCCGCATCTTTCGGTCAAGAAGTCCCAGAAGACAAGGTCTTGCAGGTGATCTTATGCCCACCCTCTGGCATTACCCTGGTAGGACTCCCGCAGGACCCTCCGCTTGTCCTAACGTTTTGCATTTAGTTTCCTCTCCCTTGCATCTGGGAGATCACGAATTGCTCCCACTAATCCCCTTTTTTCGGACGATGTTTTGGACAGATGAGCTCCCTGTGCTGATACGCTTGAGAGGGCAACGAGGAGGAGAGCAGATCTGAGCTACGGGGCTGCAGATGGGGGCTGTTCTGGCAGCACTGACCAGTCCAACTCTTGTGGAACAGCCTCCCCCCTACACGGAGCAAGGCTCTCACCTGCAATCCACAGGCAGTTCCTCTCTGGCCCAGTACCAGAGATAGGTCCGCCAAGCCCTTCGTCACTTTTCATTTCTAGGCGCAGGCATCTCTGTATGCGTACATCAGTTACTTCAGAATGGTGCGTAACATCCTTGAAAAGGTTCAGGTTAGAACTAAAGTTTTGGCTTTAAAGGCTTACAACTTGAAGTAGTTTAGCTGAATTTACAAGGTCTTTATCCTTACAGCTGACAAGTTTGAGTTCTGCGTGCACAAAAATCTGCCTTCTTCCTGAATTCAACTACATTTACTTAGCATGCCTAAAGGGACAAAATGAATGTAGGATGTTATAGCTGCTCAACAATAGACTTACCCTGACCTGGAAAGCTGGTTATTAAAATTTTGGTTTATTGATGAGCTGTTTTGGTAACTTAAGTTGTCACCTGAAACATTCACCTGTTTGAGGGCAATCATTACTGCAAACAGTAGGCTGCCAATAGTTTACAGAAAATAAAGCGTAGGAAGGGGGACTCCTAGTTATCCAGAACACCGTTTCCAAAAGACAGCTGGGAGTCAAATGTTCAAATAAGACCTTTATTACAACACAGGGTTGACAGCACGTTTTCGTACTTAAAAGAAAGTATTTGGTCTCTTGGTAGTGAAACGTGGTTTGTGCTGGCGACGCAGAACTCTGTGTGGCAGAGGGAACTTGATTTTAGAATCCTGCAAGAAAAATGTTTCTGTGTTAATTGAGATATTAGATGAACAACAGAACATAGTTTGCAATAAATAGCTAAGCTACATTCAACTGCTAACTTATGTATAGAGAAGTAATGCATCCACAGATTAGATATACTTCTAATCTATATTTCTATATAGGAGCTAACAGATGCCTTAGTTTTGCGATTCTTTTTGAAAGAAATGCCTGTTATATATAGGTAAGCTTTCTGCAAGATAATACGCTTTTGTTTTAGTCTGACTTTCTTTCAAACAGTTCTAGCATTAAAAGTCTTGATCATAATATAACACAACTGCAAACCTATGCATGCAAGTTAGGTTCCCTCCCTGTTTTTGCCTGCAAAGCAAACCTGTACCAGAGAAGAGAGCTCCCCCCTTCCAGTCTGTGTTAGACCAGGACCCACCAGCCACTGCAATGCTACTTCACTTACATGGAACTGCTTGACTGCTGGTCTACGGCACTTGCTAGCAGCAATCTCCTCGACTTTCATGATCTGAATAGAATGAGCACGGGCACGATGACGGGCTCCCATATCGCGGTCTGTAACAAAAGAACTCATTAAAAATAAATCTTTTCAGTTCAAAAATCTTACTACCACCTTTTCAGGAAACGTTTATAGTACCATCTACAACTTTTAAAATTCCTGATCGACTCTACTTAATCACACTGGTTTTAGTATCTGAAGTGATGCAGAAATATCACAGAACCAACATGCAGCAGAAAATTCTTCCTGGAACTCATAACCAAACTCCTCCAAGAAAGCACCTTCTTACTGTTCTTGCCTGATTTCAAGAAGGTACACATGTACAGAAGTAATCTACATGGGGCTATTTCATTTTTTTGCACAAAAAACCTGTGATTCAGAATCAACACTGAAATATGATTACTGGAAAGACATGTGAACTTCAGAATTTCCCTGCCAAAAGGAAGGTGCAAGTAAAGGTAGGATCTGAGGTTATCTTTACTTTTCTTAAAAGTGCCAAGTGATAAAAACGTGAATTAATATTTAGCCCACATAATTAGGCTTTCAGAACAGGAGGAAGCCATCTGTACATGATGCTACCTGAAAATTCCTCCCTGCGGCAGTGAAAATCACTGCCTTCAGGTCATTACATCTATAGCTAGTTCCACAAGATATGCCCGTTGAAATACTATTGTGCTTACAATGCTTCCCATGAAGATCTAACATCCCTATTAAAAACTTACCTGTCAAAAGTATTCTTGAACATAAAGGTATCAAAGTCACGATGCAATTATCATGACAAATTAAGTTCTCAGGCCTCTTAAGCAGTCCTCCAGTATATTAACTAACAGGAATTATTTTAAGTTAATGTCGAACCTTAAATTTCACTTTCAACAGCACTTCAGCTTTTGAAAGGCGACAAGATACATTTAATATTTGCACACATGACAAGAATATCATTATTAAGAACAATATTCTTTGGGTTTTTGTGTGCATTCTGTAGTGTTTGTAACACTTCTGGATTCAAATATCCACAGCATCAGCTATACAAACGGTCTATCCCTCAAGTACTTCACAAAACAGACTGAAATCAGGACAACCTTTAATTCTCCCTGAACTAAGGCAATGAGATCTTCGAGCAACACACTTTTCCCTGCCCCATGATGTTTTTTTTTTTTTAACTTGCTCTCCAAGGGACAGATGCTAGTGTGTTCCACATGATATCTGAAATATTCTCTCCACAAGACTTGGGAAGATATACTCAATTATTTTAAAACAATAAATACAGTGCAAGAAATATATACAGCACCTAAAAGGTCATGAAACTCTCAGTCTGTATAGCAAACCTCATTACTAGAATTGTAGAAAGTCACGTCAAGATGAAGTGGGAATGTTTTCAGCTAGAGAAACTGTATAAAGAGTGGTAACAAGGAAGATACCACATACATCATACACAAACATGCATGGACTTCTCTGGGAAATCCCCACTTTATTTTTCCAGTGTTTCAGTTATCTTAACATGGATCAAGTCATCATGCTTTATGCCCAGTTTAAGATTTAATCTTGTGCTTATATACTGGTCCTACCATTTTATACCTCAAACAGTTACATGTACTTACAGCACTGAGTGACAGCACCAGCCGTGGTCAAATCCCTGTACTCCCTGTACATGTTGTGAGTTCCGCTACGAGAATCATAGCGCAACCAAATACCAAAATTTTTCACTCGCAGAGGGGACTTCTCATACACCTGGAATTACACAAGAGCACAAAAGTAATTAGAGACAGTACATCACTGGCATTTTACAAGTTTAAGAAGAAATATTTCAGAGCTTTAATGAAACCACTATGGGGAGTTTTAATGTCAAAAACAACTATGTGCTCTCTTTCCCCACATCAACATAGCTACACTCGAGTCTTGGTAATTCAGAGTGAAAAGTTTTAATCATTCAGCGTGGGAAGAAAAATACACAGAAGATTTCGGCTCTAAAGAATGTCTTTTAAGCATCAAGGTAGAGGAGTGCAAGCATACAAGTATCTACTTTCCAAGAATTATGAATGTCCAGATGACTCTTAAAAGGTATATTCCACAATGAAGCAAGCGTAAGAACCAGACAGCAGCACTGACTAGTGGCATAGCTCATAACTCCCAAGTGCTGGGAAGTACATTTCTTTTTTGTTTACTGGACATATAGTGCCACTATGAAAAAACGAACTTGTCACTCAAGGTTCTCAGCAACTGAAGAATAAATGAACTTCAACCTCACCCCTAATAACTGTGCTTACATAAATTCCTTCCACACATACCAGCTGGAATTCCTTACAAATCTCCCACTCTTTTAGGTTTTCAATCCCGCACCTGGCCACAGTACACAATCTCTCCAGAAGACTTCTTCATCTTCTTCAGCTGAGAAACGAAGTACCAGAACCGGGACTTGGCGACAACATGGTTCGGAGCGAAGATCCGCATGCGGTAGAGAGGAGGCGTCGTGCACTTGGGCGTGGGCAGGCATCGCCCGACCACCTTGTACTCCCGCAGCTGGAGGGAGACGAACGACAGGCCGCCCGCAGCGTGAGGCCCTCAGCGCCGCCGGCCCAGCCGCC